AATGTAGGTAATTACCTTCTGTGTCTATAAATTGCAGCCCCCTGCAGTTTTCAATTGGGTACAGTATTGTTCTACCCTTCCTGGCTGAAATTGTTGTGCGATAATGCTCCATGTCATTAAACAGCTGCCGTCTGTCACCTTACAATGAAGTCATTCCTCTCTAAACAATGAGTTTAAAAAGCCCTTTTGGGTCCTTCCAGACAAAATTTGCTCGTAAACCAGCAATTATGATCTTTGGAGTACATTAAGGTGATGCTTGGCTGTCTCTCTTGACAGCAGTCAGAAGCCTTCAAACGGGTGTTGTCCCTTTTGTCAGTTTGTGTGATATCCTGGCAGTGATGCCACAGCTCAGGTGTAAATGCTTTATTGCTGTAAAACCTTGATGCCTGTAAATACCTCTGCACTGGGTTGGATTTAGTTGTCATTACACTTGGAACTTGATTATTACCATATTCTTGTTATGTTGGCTCTTAGAGGGAATTCAGATATCTTATGGAACATGAAAAAGGCAAATCCCCAGCAAATTGGTAAAACACAATAATAGGGTGAGACTTGCAATATGAATTAACCAAAAAAGAACAGTAGGAAGGTTCTGGGTAGGGTTAAAACAGATTTGGCAAACAGGTGTCATGTAAATCCGTTTGGTCCCCGTTAACAGCTGTTTTTCAGCACCTGACTTGACACTGGGATCATTAATGGAAATTAATGTGGATTAATGCCAAAGCTCTTAACAGTGATGAATTTAAGAGAGTCTGTTTTAATTCAGACATTTTTTTCTGAAGGCTACTTCTCTGTCCTGAGTGGGCAGTTCACTTTTAGCAGTTCTGCAGTAATTAAAGATATGAATGGGAGAGACCAAGAGGGCATCTGCTAGGTTTTTCTGGTGCTCCTGCTGAAGCAGCAGGGATATTAAAACAATCTCTAGCTCCTCAAGAGTGGCTCTGTCAGCTTGCTGAAATGATGGAATGGTAGTTAGGTTATTAGAAGAAAAATTGGCACAAATTGAGAGAGAGTATGCTCTGGCAGCAACCACAAGCAGCCAGCGACTCAGTGTCTTAATCTCTGCCCTCAGGCTGCTCTCTATGATACAGATGACACCTTGTCAGTGAAGATGATGTGCTGGGTCACCCTTGAGTCCAATGGGCTAAATTGGCCATGGAGGGAAGGATTGCTACAGCATAGAGTCACATAAGCGAATTTTTTTATTTCTTTCATTCTTTTTTTTTTTTTTTTTAATGTATGTCATCATTTGGGTACTGACAGTAAGTGCCAAAGGATCCCATTCTCATTAGTGTCCTCTAGACACAGCTATCTCTGTACACTTGTGCTTTCAAGAAATAGTCCTAAGTCTTCACAAGACTTGCTTTGCTTCCATCTGGAAAGTTTTACATGTAGTTTTTCTTTTGACTTATTACTTCTTGGGTACAGGAGAAGGGGAGATAGGGGAAGGAAGAAGCCACTTCCTTTGAGAGGCACTGTGTTGGCAAAGAGAAGTAAAAGCCCTACAGCTCTTAGCAGTCAAGAGGTCTTAGTGCAGAGCAGTAATGTTCATTGGATGAAGATAAAAGGTGGGAAAAGATAAGGGAATTCATCTTAGAAGGGAACATTTGCAAAGGATCAAACATATTTGGCTGGAACCCAACAAGTTCTGTGACAAACTGAACCATCAGGCAGGTGTGGTGTATAATTTTGTTCCTCAGTGGAGCCTTCCAGTGCACTGAAGGGATCAGATCCATAGAATCTATAAAATAGGTGGTTTTGCCCCAGTGTTATCTCTCTGCTGATTTATTCACTTGTTCATTTTGTCTGCATTGGCTCTAGTCCTACACCAGCTGCCAAAGCTGGGTGAGGATACTACTACAAGTGTCATTGCTGCAAAGTGTTCATGGGCTCCTCAAAATCCCAACAGTGAGACTTGGATTCCCACTCTGAGGTGTCTGAGAGCCTTGGTTTGCATTGAGATCAAAAGGATGCAGTTTAGGAAGAAGCCCAGCTGTGTTTGTAAAACTGAGGGCCCTCTCTGTGGCCTGAACTTGTCTGTCAAACCTCCAAAATGCTGGCAGCTCAGTCAAGTCCCTACCTTGTGGTAGAAAAGTATTTTAAAGAAAAACCTAAATTATGCTTCACTTTTCCCTAAGTCTGCAGGAGTTAGTGGATTGACAGAGCTGTCAATGGATGGTGGAATTTAGTTAGGAGAAGTTTTAATGACTTACTCAAGTTAATGTAGGCAGTGAGTGACAAAACCTGTCCCCTGGAGCTTTTCATCGTAGTGTATGGCACCAACACCTTGAGTCAGAGCTTTTAACCATCTTCAGCCAATGAAGCATTTAAAGAATATGATCAATGTAATTCAACTTCAATCCCAACAAAATAAGAAAGGGCTTAAACGTTCTGTGCAATTAGAAGAGAGCTTGGCCTGTGCCTAAACCTTTAGCTCAAAGCAAGAACTTGATGCTAATAGGGCCATTTACCTGAGAAAACAGGTATTAGTGTTTGGCTTTGTGCTTTTCTAAAAAATTGGCTGATTAGCAATGGAAATTGTGGGGGTCTTGGTGGTAAAGGTGGTTTTGGTAAAGGAAAAAGCAAAAGAATAAACTTGTTATTATTTATTAAACATGACCCTAGCTGTAATTCTGGGCTAAGTAGCAATTGTGTATGGATTTCTTAAAGAAGGGATCCAACAGAGAGAACAGATGAAGGGCATGATTTAAAACTGAACTCAATACAAACAACACAGAGAATAAATGAAGTGAAAAATCAAGCCAATTTATGAAAGAAAATAGTTGACCATGCCCAGGGCAGAGCTGGGAGCTTAACTAAACTTCTACCTTTTCTTTCAAAATAACATATAAGCGTTTTCTAGTTATTTTAAGCTATGGGTCAGGGATTTTTCAACCTCCCTAGCAGGGAGGTTGTTTGACAGATTGGGTTTTACGTAGAGGAATAGGAATTGAAAAGAAATAATTGAGTGATTTTTTAGAGGTTTAAGTGTCACATAGGTGCCTACTGCTCCATGAAAGTCTTGAAAGTTGTTCCCATGAACTATCACTCAAGTGAGTCAGTCATAGTTTTTCTGTTTCTTGGCAATTTTAAGGGGGTGGTTGTTTGGATGGTTGGCTTGGTTTGGCTTAAGTTGTCGTTGTAAGGACAAAGTTGTCTTTGTAAGGAAATGCAGTTTCTAAGGCCTAGAGAAGTCACAATTCCTGCAGATGAACTTGTGACCTGCAGAACTTTTTCAAAATGAAGAGCATTTGCAAGACAAGATATTTGTAGATGCAATGTAATGTAACCATTTGGACCAAATCTTGAAGTCTCTTTCTCAGGCAAGATTCCTGCTAGAGTAGTAGGAATTTTAGCCATTTATGAGAGTGATAAATGCTGTTGTCTGCTGATCCGTCTTGAAAGCACTTCACAAGGGATGATCAAACTTCTTGCTGGTGGTGTAAAATGTGCCTTTAATATAACTTTCTCCTTCCTGCCTGTAAGCAGCGAAAGTGCTAAAGTTAATATGGACATATTAATGTGAATTATGCTTTCAAGGAGATGAAACACATGAAACGAAATAATTTGTCTTCACACAGGTTATAGCTGTGAGACAGGGGAATTGCACAGGGTTGTTTTCTTCTCACCACTCTTAGATTTTTTTTTTCACATGTAAAATATTATTTTCATCTGGTTGTGCAGATTCTGAGCTCTTCCAAGTCCTCTGGTGGGCATTCACTCCTGAACAATCATCAAACAGAGAAATTCTAATTAAAGCCAAGTTTTTTGAAAGTGGCAGGTGGCTCTGAAATGCCTGAATTCTGCCATGATCAGCTTCTGACATTGCTGCATACAGGCCATTTGCCCCTTCTCCCTCGTGGAAAGATGGGGGGATGCTTGAAAATTCATGCATCATTAGTGTTCTTTCTTGAAACCGAAACATCCAAAAATCATCAGCACTTTTGGAATTTCTAGCCAAGTAATTAGTTGAAACTACTGTCCTTAATTATCAACTATGCAAGGAGGGAAAAAGAGGAGGGAGTGATGTATTTTTATATTTGTTCAGTATTTAAAATTATTTATTTTCTGTGTAAGAGTACAAATTCTCCTAAACCATGATCTATCTTTTGTCTCCCAGATTAGATTATTTTTTGTTCAGAAGTTATTTTTCCCTGCAAAAGTGTGGTTGTTTTGAACTTGGATTTAGGATGTACATCTGGAGGTCAGATAGGCTAAGAATTTACAGGGGGTGAAAGTGTTCAAAAATTTGATCTCCCTTTGCAGGGCAAAAAAAAACTTTTTGAAGCAGCATTTGAATTTCCACAACGATGTAGGCAGTTTTGCCACTACCGTCTCTTTTTGATTTGTGCTATTTTTTTATGGCAGCAATAAACACTATGCTTTAAACTGGGTCTCTCCAGACTGCTTTTCCTTTTTAAAGAGCGTAGGCAACTAATCGGCAGCAACCAGCCACATAGCTGGAGTGTTTTCCATTCTAGGCAATATCAGACTAATTTGATGCACACATGGATGCTTCACACAATCTGCAGATTCATCGCTGGCATCTTGCATCAGTCATCTGACAGATTGCCAAGTGTTTCATACTCCTTTCATGTGACTTTATTACAAAACACACACACATAGACACACGCACTGCCTGGTTCCTGCCAGTAGCCAGTTTAGTGAGAATTCACTGCAGTTCTGTTTACAGCAGCCATGGAGAGAAATCTGCACTTATTTGCCACTATCCTCTACTTTAAAATGCAGAAGTCCCGGGTTGTGTTGTGTCGCTCTCATCTTATATAATGACATTAAGCAGCAGCCTGCAGAAAAAAACAGACTCAATGAAAAATGTAATAGCATTGTTTTTTGTTCGTAATACTTATGCTATTAATTAAATCCTGATTTTTTTTTTCTGCTTTGTGCCAATTGACATCATCTTCTGCATCTAGTGCACATGAAAACTGCGTAGTCTCCTAACTTGTCTTCTCTTTTTAATCTCCTCTTCCACTTTCTAGTAACGGCACAGCTAACAAGATGAATGGAGCTTTGGATCATTCAGACCAACCAGACCCAGATGCCATTAAGATGTTTGTTGGACAGATTCCCCGTTCGTGGTCAGAAAAAGAATTAAAAGAACTTTTTGAGCCTTATGGAGCTGTCTACCAGATTAATGTTCTCCGAGACAGAAGTCAGAACCCTCCCCAAAGTAAAGGTACAGTAGTTATGCTCTCTTTGCTTTCAGTTTGCTTGTTTTCCCAATGATCTTGCTTCCCTTAGCATTTCCAGAGAGGTTTGCAGCGGGGCTTTAGGTTTTGTAGTATGCTGTGTTGAGCTATGCATCAGTCCTAAGAGGAGAGGACTCATGAATCCTATCGGATATTGCCTTCCTCCTCTTCTTAAACTGAAGTTTATTATCTGTTATCTGGAAGCATGTGTTCCAACTGTGCAAAAAATAATAAAATATCGCTCTCCTTCTTTAAATTATCATTGCCAAAAATGTGGAAACATGAGAGGTTGCTTCCCAGGATTAGCTCATGAAAAATATAATTTTCTATTTCCTTTCATTTCCTCTCTTTGCACCCCAGGTGGGAAATACTTTAAGGATACAGAAGGGAAAAATTATGATGGTGGGTTCTTGCCACATCATTGCTCCAACAGCAATAAAAATTACAAACAGCCACCCTGCCCTTTTTCCAAAATGTGATTTTTTTTTCTGCAGTCATGTTAAAGGATTATTTTTTGGCATTGATATTGTTCTAAATGAAAGAGTTACTTTTCCTTCTTGCATTTTTTCTATACACACGTAAAGTATTTGCCCCTAACTATATTCCTTTCACTACATATATCTGTACTTGTTTAGGCACACAAGAGTTCTGTGTATTATAGCTGTTTAAGTGTGACACATAAGCATGTAAAACATGCTAAGCTGAAACTGAATATTTTGGTTCACAGAATGCATTTTCCTCCCTACCTAGCTGTATGTTTTCCTTCAGCCTTGGTATGTGAGAGCATTGCTGCTGTTAGAAATAATTAGCGTAGCTCAGAGGCAGAACTGGATGTGCATGTGTGTGCCTGGCTGTAAGGTTGCTATTTCTTATTTACACTTATTTACACTTCTTACTGCACTCCTGCCACTGACTCTAAAATCCTTCAGAGCACACGTGCTATGGAGAATATCACAGAATGATTTTGTGGGCTCACAGCAAAGTTAACAGTGTAAAACAGCCCTTGCTGGAGATGAGAGGTGCCTGCTGCTGTGGGAGGCACACACAGCCTCGAGTGCTCCTTGCTTTTGGGCAAAGCACTGCCAAGGCTCAACATATCTCCATTTTCCTGGTACTGGGCAGAGGATCCTCTCAGTGCCTTCTTTTTGCTGCCCAGTTTAAGCAGTAGGGTGCTTTAAGTGACCATGGTTTATTTTGGCTTGCTTGCATCTCATACTTCTAGTTAAAAGACTTGGTACATTGGTCCCACACCAGTGTCAGGGAGGAGGTCTAGCTCACTGTACCTTCCTGCTATTCAAGTGTCTGTGCTAGATCACTCTTCCCCCTTCCCCATCCCTGGAAGTTTTTAAGGGTATGTTGTGTGAACAACCTGCTCTAATGAAACATGCTCCTGTCCATGACAAGAGGGCTGGAATAAGGTTCTCCTTAAGGTCCATTCCAACCCAAAGCATTCCATGATTCTGTGATCCAGAAGCAGAAGGTATTTCTGGTTGGAGTGTTTCAGTGTAGTTCTGCTTCCAGCCCACCCCCCATCTCATTTCCCAGGACTGATGTATTGTAGCATGTACCCCCCTGCTGCACAGAGCCCTCACCAAATGTCTTTTTCTTGTATGCTGGATAGGAGAGCATTAAGAGGTCAAGCAACTGGATTTTCTGCAGTCCAGGCTGCTATGGATGAGCAAACTCCTCCTTAGTTTAAGCCACTAAAATGCTGAACTTAAAGACTCGTCCATTTGGAAGCAGCTGATTCCTGGGTCACAGCAATGCCTTCCCACTAAGCAGTAAATGAAGTGAGAATGATCTTGTGGTTAGACAGAAGAAACCCATTGATACCCATTTCTGGGAATCACTGTACCTGTCCATCAGGCAGCTGGAAAGCATAAGGATGAAACATAGATCATGCAAATCATTGTAGACTAATTATCAATGTTTGTAGTCCCATATACAATATTCTTTTTGAAAGGTGGCTGGGTTTTGGGGATGCATTTTGCTTGGACTCTTTTCAGCCATGCAGAGATTATGCTTGTCACTTCAGGCATTATGTGTTAATTAATGAGTAAATGAAATTAATCCTGAAGATAGGCAGAATAACCTTCAGACTTCCTTTCTATGGCACCAGCAGCAAGCTCCTCTGGTGGTCAGCTTTTCCCTCAGAAGCTTTGGAGGAGGGTATCTCCATGCTGGCTCTGTCCTTCCTCCTGGCTGAATCTGTCAGCAAAGTTGCCAGAAACCTCTTGAGTTTCTTGTGGATATCTCTTGACTAGGAATGATCTTTATTTTCTTAATCCAGTGTGAGAGATTGTTAAGAATGTTAGAAACAAACTGAAAAACTGCCCTGAAAAACATCCTACAATTGTTTTCTCACAATTCATGACTGTTCTTCACCTACACCATCTACTAAGCATTTTAAAAAGAAACTGAATTTTCATTTTTTTTGTTTGGGGGTCATAGAATACCCTGAGTTGGAAGGGACGCACAAGGATTACAGAATCCAGCTCCTAGCTCTGTACAGGACAAATCATGTGTCTAAGGTGGAATGAAATTCCATGCTCCTCTTCTGTGTAAATATCCATAAAACAGCCATTTTTATTTAATTTGAGCTGAGTGGATTTGGGTTGTGCCACGCATTTTTCTCCCTGCTGACCCTTTGTATCACCTCCAGTTTTGTAAACAATCCACCCAGGGAACCTGGATGGGTGAGGTAGAAAAAAGTCCATTTTTCATTTCACTGCATGGTTGGGACTGTGTGTAAGGCAGAACATTCACAGCCTGGTGTCACACAGAAGTTGTTTTCTGAATATGCTTCAAGCCATGAGTTGTAATGACAGGAATGCAAGTTGGTGTTACTACACCACACAGAGGGGAGCAGTCAGGTTTTGCTCTTTAAAGAAAAGCATTTTGATTTTTGAAAGATTCCTCTCTTCTCAGACAAGGGTTGTGCATTTCTGTGAGCTTGGCCAAAGGGGCTCCTCTAATTTGGACCGAGTTTTTCTCTGATGAACTGTTTATGAAGCTGCAATCTGAGTCTCTCCCAATTCTGTCAAAAATAACCATAGGCTGCTTCTCTCTCTCCTGCTGTTATTCAGACTGCCTTTCATACCCTCCAACGACAGACGGCCTAGTTCATGTCTTCCCTCCTCTTTTGTATTGCTTGCCAGCTCTGCAAAGGAAGACAGGTAGAAAGCCAAGTTTACCTCACTCTGGAAAACCAGAGGAAAGCCATCTTAATTCCACAGATATATTGATACTACTGCAAACGTTGAAGCTTGACTTTATTAGCTGGGAGCTTCAGGAATGGCTGCATTCTAGGAAATTCCTCATCCTTTCCCGAGCTTGCATTTTTCTGCTTCTTTTGGATGTCTGAAAGTGCTCAGAAAAGTAATTTGACTTTGTTTTTTATCTCCTGTTGTTTTGTAAGGCTTTTCCCTCTTTCTGCAACAAAAGAAATCCAGGGGATTATGTAAACTAAATAGGGAAAAAAAAAAAAACCCCCCCCCCCCCCCCCCCCGAAAAAAAAAAAAAAAAAAAAAACAGGGCAGAAAATTCTATACCCCTGAAATAAATGGCACTTTTGGCTTCTGGGGGCCAAGGGGATTCAAAATCTGGTCATATCAGCCCTCTCTGTTCCCAATCCAGCTTGCTCCCTTTATATAATTTTTTCTGGGTGAACAGATGACTTTTTTCCAGGGTAGTTGTTTAAAAGAGTTTCTCTAATATCTCAAATGCAGCAAACTCCATGTGAAGGCAGCATACACTGCCACCAAGATCTCTCTTCTTCCCCACTGTTTTCCTAAGGCAGAAAGATTTCCTTGGCTACTTTGGTTCTAAAGTCCAAGTGCTGAAGCAAGCAGATGGTGCAGGGCTACTTTTGTCTTTTGAAATGCAGCAGAAGAGTCTTGGGCCAGATCCACTATGTCCTTTTGGCACCTTGCCTCTGCTTCAATACCTGAAAATTCTTGGAGGGATTAAGGTCCCCTAAACCAGCTTTGTGAGCCTGAATTTCTTTTTGCTGCCATAGGAATCACACTGCAGAAGGCAAGGAGAGGCACCTGTGTAACAACTGACTCTGTGTTTGCTTGTAGCCTTTTACACACCCTTTATCAGATTAGAGGGAGGCTGCTGAGTGAGCAAAGATGTGCTGTAGTTAAAGGCCAGTGTTTATTATTATCCTATTTAACATGGTAATTTAAGTCTATTGGGAGGCAAGCAGAGGATTCTGATAATGAGGCATTCATGTGCTGTGTACAGGAGAGACCAGGTGGGCAAGGAGGTGTATAGATGTGTATAGTTATACATACATATAGAGAGAGAGATGCATATAGGAGGCAAAAGTTACCTGGCTTGCTTGAGCACCACTCCAGCCTCAGTTTAGCTCTTCCAAAATAGTCTGGTGCAGGCAGGGGGGACAATCCCTCTCCTCCAGCAGATCCCTGTCACAGTGCCTGGTACAGTAGGAGCAAAGGGAACTCAGGCAGTCCTGCACAGCAGCAGAGCTGTGGAACTCACTTTGTCACACATTCCTACCCTGAGTGTCCTAACCTGCAGCAAAGACCAGCTGCTCCTTGTTCCTTGAATGCCCCTGTGACACCACACAGCCAATTGCACCCTCTGCTCCTTCAGGCACTTTCAATACATTGTGTTTGGCAAAACTTTTTAGATGCTCTTTAAAAGCTCCCTTCAGCCAGCACTCCAGGAGCTGGGGTTTCTCTACACTTCATGTCTTATTTTGTGTTTTGAATGCTCTCAGAGGCCCACATGAGCACTGTTTAGCTTTTGAGATCAGATGAGTTGCACCGTGAGCATATTTGCTGTTCAAATTGTGCCCACAGCCATAGTTCATGTGTGTCTTAGACTAAATTTTGGTGATGGTGGCTGACAGATACTTTGTTACTATGCAGACTTGAAATATTTTCCTGCACTGTGCCTTGCATGTTATTTTTTAGCAGGCACATTGTACACAATAAGAAGACAAGACTGGCAAAAGCCA